GCCTCAATTTCAAAAGGGCAAACTTCAAAAACTCAAAGAAATTGTGCAGCAAAAGCAGCTTGGCACAGGAGCCCCGGAGCATCCCTGCCATTTCTTCAAGCCAGCATACTCAAACTGATCTTGGGAAGGGAGATCTTGAGCAGAGGGGAATAAAACTTGGAGCAAGGGTCTCTGCACTAATGAAGTCTAAACAAACACTTCAGCAGGATGGTGGGGAAGCAGGCTCACGGCTGGCTGTGGGAGCAAAGCCTTGGTGAGGAGTAACCTGCAGCTGGGACAGAGAGCTAGGCACACGCTGTTCCCTTGGGTGGTCTCTCATGATGAAACTTCTGCTGTGCAGAGCAGAACTGAAAAGGGCCCTTGGCCCACCAACAAAAGCAAGCTGTATCACGCTAATGCCCCGCTGGTGGCATTAAGGGTGGCTCCTGTAAGCTTCTCTGGAGTCTGTGCAGCGTGGGACCAGCTGGAAGATGGGGGACTGCCACCTCCATTTCTGGCCACTCGTTTTCCCACCTCTGTGTCTAAACAATGTAGAGTCTCTGGCATGTCATCATCCTCTAAGGATCTTGAGGTCTACTGAAAAAACACAAGGTCACAGATAGGGGCCTGCATCTGGCAAGGCTTCAATAATGCTGTAGGTCAGGAAATCCTTGGGGCTGTTTAAAATAAAATTCTAGAAACTCCAAACAGTACTTCCTTATGTGTTAGCAAACAACAATTTACGAGCACGCAAATGCTGTATATAAAAACGGGGCGCTAAGTAAATAGAACTGCAATAGCATAGGGGACTTAAAAGTTAGCACCAGAATATTAAAATAGGAAAAAGTATGCAAAACCTCAGATTGCACTTGTGTGTTCATGATGACTCTCTAAACATCCTGGAGCAGTTGGCTTTAATGGCCTAAATCCCAGGAAATGCTGCTAAAATATGGTATCAAATGAATATTTGCTTTTTTCTTCAGAAAGATTCCCCTTTGTGTCTCGTTTTACCACAATTCAAGAATGTCAAACACAGTGGGGGCTGCTGGTCACATACATGACCTGGGTTAATCTAGAAAAATAAATGTTTTTTCTTCTTTTGTTTCTTTAATAGATGTCCTTTTCTGAGCACTGGTGAGGATGAGCAAGACCTGCCAGGAATGCCTCGGAGACAGCCGAGCCTACACCCAGTGTCAGTACAAAGGGTGGTGAGGATCAGAGGGTAGACCAGCACAGGTGATGTTGTGGTAGGTGTCTGCTGCAGACCACCTGATGAAGAAGAGGAGGTGGAGAAGTTTTCTTTAGGCACTTGGAGGCATCCTTACAGCTACAGGGCTGGGTACTCATGAGTGGATTTAACCACCTCGCTGTCTGCTAGGAGAGCAGTGTGGCTGGGCACGACCAATACAAGAGGTTTCTGGCATGGTTTGAAGGCAATTTCGTGATGGAGGTGGTGAATGAACCAACTAAGGGAGATGCTTTCTTGGACCCGCTACTCAAACTTGGTGAAGAACTGGCTGAAAATGAGAAGGCTGGAGGCAGTCTTGTCTGCAGGGACTACAAGACTGTGGCACTTAAGGTGCTGAGAGAAGTCAGCAAGGCAAACAACAGAATTACAACCCTGAACCTCAGAGGAGTGGGGGTTTGCCTGTTGGGGAGGAGAAATGCAAATACATTGTACAAATTGAGTTAGGAAGCAAGAATTTCAGAAAGTGGCAACTACAAAAGGGTGTCAAATCCATCCTTCCGTTTGTCATCTGTGAAAATGCTGAGATTATCAACCGCATACTTACAAATATTTGAAAACCAGCATTCATTGTTTTCACTAAGCACTTACCAATCTTGGTCTTGTTTTTGGTTCTTTTCACGTATTTAGAAAACAAGACCCTTGGAGACCACTGTATAATCTCAGAATCGCATGAAGAGTGGATGCAATTGCAGACAGACGCAAAGAAACTACAGTAGCTGTTTTCCAGAGAACCACAGCAGTCCCATAAAGCTGCTTCAGATATATGTACATGATTTAAAACTAGGAGATTGCATTTTATTAGGGGGTACAACTCAAATGTAAAAAAAAAAAAAGGAGCAGCTACACAGTTTACAAAGTAACAACTAAACATACCATAAATCACATTTAAGTCTACAAGGGAATGTAAATGAGATAGTAGCCATCCATGCCTGACTGACTCCTTTACTTCAAACTCTATACAGAGTCATAGAGGAGAGCAGAAAATCAAGCAGTTTTTTCCTTCTTTCTTTCTACTCTTCATCTTCCTTCATTTCCTCTCTCTCCATTTTAAATGTAGTTGAATACTAAATATGTGTTCAGCATATAGTGTGTTCTGTGAGCAGCAATAATAGTATGCAGGTCAGATCCATAGGGGATGAGCAACTAATCCATGTCCATGCACATTCTCTGCAAAAATCTTCCCATGAGATTTGCAGTTCCACTGAAAGAAGAAAAAAAGAAAAGCAATCAATTTGAGGATTAGGAAGAGGAGCCAAAGAGAGATAGTGGATGAGGCTCCCATGAGTGAAGGGCAGTGATTCCTCACCTGGACAGACCCCCATATATATACAGCAAGCGCTATGTATAAAAGAGGATCACTGTGCGCAGAAAGAAATGTCTTTGCCCATCTTGATTCCCCTTACAAAGAAGAAAGAAGATGCTAGATAAAATTTTGGTATTGTCTCAAAAAGTTCCTGCCCCACGTCCATTTTCCTCTACAGCTTTCTACGTTCTCATGCCATTTACAAGAACAAAAACTCAATTACAGAGAACTAGCTCAGGCCTTTAATGCTGCCAGTTATAAAAGAAGATTGTAAAAAAGCCCAACAAATCCAGAAAAAAGCAGCATCTTGTTTTGAGGTTATTTTGTCCAAATTTCTACGTAAACAAGACATACTACAACTGCAGTGTGTCTGTATGTCAGAACACCCCAACGTAAGAAATGAACTCACCAGATGTGGCCATCTATGGCAGAGGTGTGAAGATAATATTCCTACAAATGTCATGAAAATGGATGCCTAAGTAGGTGAGAAAGACCAAGTTAACCTTTTTTATTGAGGGAAAGGATGCAATAGGGGGCTGTTTTGTAAAATATACAAGAATCCTCATGGGGACAAGGCATTATGTCACGTCAAACTGCAGGAAAAGGTTTTGATTTGACATGAGAAAGTTCAAGAAGCACACATAGAAAGTTAAAAGTCTGTAGGTCCTTTGGTCAAGAAACTGCAGACAAAAGACAATGTTCACAAGTCTGTGAGGAGGAAGAGTGAGATATGGAGGTGTGGGCCTGTGCTGTCCTCCTTTCTACACTTTGGGCACTCACCAGCAATGTAGGAGACAGATGTGCTGTCCAGTTGTTTGTGATAAGGCACCTTGCTGGAGAAACAGCTTCTGCAGGGGCAGATGCAGCTAGAAATAGACATACTGAATGTGGATTAGAAGCAGTGTTGATGGGTACTCATGGACACAACAGAGCTTGGACACAGCAGCAAAGTAGGCAAAAGAAATGGCCTGGTATGTGGTGTGTTTGCTGGATTACGGGAGGGTGAATGCTTTGCTTAGACATCTCATGTACTGTCTGGTAAATCACTGTCATCAGAAACTGGACCCCTCCTCTTCACTAAAGATGCTCCAGAGGGAAAGTGACCATCCCATTTAGAGTTGCAGGAGTGCCCCTGGAAAGGGATGGCCCCACAAAATCCTTCTTTGCTCTTCCAAGGAATTGTTGAGAAATTTCTTGTTTCTCAGGTATGCTTATTCTTCAGTGTCCCCTTGCTCCAGAATGAGTCCTGCTTCTGTCATGGGACTTTGAGATGAACGGGGTAATGAGCACGTAAAATTCTAGGTTATGGCTATGGTTCCTATAGGTGTTGCTTGAGTATCATAGAATCATTTAGGTTGGAAAAGACCTTTAAGATCATCGAGTCCAACCATCAACCTAACACTGCCAAGTCCACCAGAGTACTCCTGGAGAAGATGCTGACACAGAATATACTCCAGAAATGTACCTTTTTAAGCACTAGCAGCTACACGGAATTGGGTTTATTATTTTCACCTGGTAGTTCAGATGTTTTTCTCAAACACAAACAGCCTGAGCAACATGTTCCTGTAGATCAGGACTGGTGGGTTAGCAGCTTACTCTGAGATCTCCTGAGACACATCCTTTGCTTTTGTCACTACTTGGAAGTCAGTAGAGTGAAATGGGAGTTAAATTGGGTTTCCCCATTGCGATTACCTCGTCTGGCAGCTGTGGCCTGATTCTGGTCCCTTCACACTGTCCATTTACCCAAAAGGTTGGAGACAGAAAGTCATAGCTCAAGGGATAACAGCCCATGTTCCTGAAAGTCATTGCTGTTCTCCATATTTTGTTGGGACATTTGCCCCTATTTTTCATTTAGCAGAGCTAAAAATTGCCTGTGAAATAAAAAAAAAACTCAAAAAACCCCCAACCCAACAACAAAAAAAAAACAAAACCCAGAAATGAATCAATAGAAAGAGGTAATACTCAGACTTGGATGACTCTGAGCAAGACTTGGCTATTTGCAAAGGCTAAGATGCAAGTTGCTCTTTTTTGAAATGTTCTTGGTTTTTTTGTTCCACTCAGGACACGTTACTAGGATGGGAAGAGGAGGACGTGGGGGGGGAAGAAAGAGGAACGCTATTTTATGGTAAAAATATGTGGGGCAGCAATGCCAACCACGAAAAGGGGCCTCTCATCATGGAAAATGAGACTTCTTCCAGCTTGTTTAAAACAAAAATGCCTTCAGCTCCAAAGATGACAACCTCGCCCCAGCCCAGCATCTGCCCTGGGAGGGGAGCGGGTGGGAGGAGACCATCCCGCGGTGTCAGTAGACCCACAGTGACTCTCCGTGGATGTCTGGAGCTACTACAAATGAGGCTCTGCCTGATTTTGAAAGAGGAGGAATATAGAGGGCAGTTCCAGCCTGCGAGGGAATAGAGGAACTGGGCTGGAGACGCCTTTGCTGCTCCCGGCCGCTCCTCCCTGCACACCCCGAGCACCCAGAGCCTGGGAGCTCACCCGTCCAGCCGGGGATGCAGGAGCCTTCCTGATACGAGCGACTCCGCAAAGTCTTTTTCCTGACATTTCGGAAGCTTTTTGAAGGAAATTTTGATGACCTCGTTTTCCAGGTAGGCAGAGTTTTCCTCTCCTTGTATAGCGGTCGTGTGGCTGTTTACTGACGGTTCTCCAGGAGGAGTAAAAGAGCCAGCCCCTGAAATCCCAGCCTGTGCCCCTGCGGGCTGCTGCCCATTGCCTCTGCTCACAGGCTCTCCAGCAAGCTGCTCATTTCAAGCATACCATATTTAAACAGTACCTGCTGTAAGAGAATATGTATTTGACTGTTGCTTTCAGCTTTTGGTTAGTTCGGGTGTTTTTCCAAGAATTTTTTCCAGGTGTGGGTAGTGTGAGCCACGGACTCTCATCTGCCAGGGCCAGAGCTTTAGAAAATTCCATGGGGGGACCTGTTGAACGAAATTCTTCCCTGGGGCAACTGAGTTGAGTTCACCAGCTACACTGAAGTGATGGCAGCAGTAGCAGCACGGTACTCCGCTGCTGCTGTGCAGCAGAACGACTGATCTGCTGCATGATTCCTCTTTGATTTTCAGAATTTCAGAAGATATGGATTAAATTAACCTGTGATTCATGTCTCCTAGTTATGCTGAGTTTCATCAGCACAAGCTCCTCTATTTTGGGGGGGTAACAGCACATTCGGAAACGCCTGTGAGTTCATTGTTCTTACCTCCTTGGGTCAGCTATTTTTTTGGTGGCAGGGGTCTGCATGAGTGCTGTAAATGGAGGTTTCTGGCTGCCAGAGCCAAAACTCCAGGGGGTTGCAGCATCCCCCTGGGTGGCAGGCACAGTCCTGCGGCCAGAGCACCCGGTGGGGGCTGCTCCCCAAAGCCTGCCTGAGGCCTGGGCTTTCCCTGACTGAAGTCCTGGGATAGTTGCAGTAGGAGAGCTGGAGAAGAGCTGGGCTCCCTGCAGCTGTTGGGAAACCTTCCCCCTGGGTGGTGTGCCCAGGGATTCAAGCTACAGGGCACGTTTGGGTAGCGACTGTGACAAACACTGAAATTCCCTCCACATGCAGTGTGCAAACCATGGGCACGCAAATGAGGAAGAGGAGTTGCATTTATAAGAACTTTTGTTCCAAATGGGACACTTTTTTTTCTGGTTTTATTTTATTTAGTAAACATTTGAGTGGAGTAAAATGATGCCTGCACAAGTGGATGGCACCACAGGCACTGCCTGCTGGGCATGGCCATGAAAAAAGTTGGGACTGGGTCCATGTCAGAGAAATACACAGTGCACCAGAAGGAACTTCAGAAATATCGATGTGTGGGATAAGACAGACCATGGCTCTGCCTGGCCAGGCACCTGAGGTGACCTTTCTAGTGTGTTAAAATCTGATCTATCTGATAATGAGATGTGAGAGTGCAAGTAAGCCGACTGTAATTTGCACATTTGAAAGAGTCATTGCAAGTTATTTGTTTGCCGTAATATTACATTTGGTTCAGTTGCTTAGGGTGGGAAGAGATACCCACAGAGAACTCTGGTCCTCGTGCAAGACCACCATTTTTGCAGGGCTCTGTGTAGATAACTCTATATACTTTTGCAATTATGTGGATAACAGCCAGGTCACCTGGGATCTGAGTGTGGGAGCAGCAAAGACTATGCATTTTTCTGCTGAGCACCTGAGGCATTAGGTAGGAGCATAGACCCTAATGCAGGGAGGATTGTGCAAAGCAGCGCCCTCAAAATCTGTTCAGAGGACCCAAAGCCGCTGCTCGAAATTCCCTGTTGTTTTTTTCTTTGTGTGCATCTCATGGGGAAAGAGATGCATCACTCAACAATGCAAATACTGAGAGAAGGAAATTTCAAGATAAATCGTTGTAAGGCCTTGCTCCTACAATATCATGGTCCTGCTCTTGCAGAGAGAGAAAGGTCAATGAAGAACAGGATGGGCAGACCCAAGTGTTCAAACATAATGAGCCAGCTCCCAATTTGCTCTTTCCATTAGTTTTCTGGACTGTCAGTGTTCAAAAATTGTCTTCAACATCCAGAAAATGTGTTAGTCTGAAATATACCCTTTTGCTGGTGAAATCTGAGATTTCCATTTGAGCGTTTCGCAGCAGGAGGTGGAGCTTTGAGGAAAATATCAAAAGTTATGAGATTTGTGAGAGAATCACAACAGCTGATAGTGCTCTGAGGATGGCAAAATAGGCACCATCACCCACCCCAGCCTTGGAGACCCCTTAGGTGGGGAGAGGGTCCTCTCCCCTGTGTGTCCATTCACTGTTAATGACCAGGTGGGATGCTGGTATAGCAGAAGGCTAACATAGCTCAAGGCACAGAGATCCCCTCTGAGGGAGACAGAGTGCCTATGACAGAGTGAAATAAAGGAGACTGTGTGCAACAGGACCACAAGGAAGTGAAGTGTGTCTAGTGTTTTCAGCTGTCGCTTTTCTGCCTCGCCTTTCTGCCTGTGTAGAGGCAAAGGCCATGGTGCCTCGTTGATCCAGTCCAAAGCCCCGAGGGCTGTGGGCAGAGGCAGTCTTGTGCCAGAGCTGGCCCTGGTTGCCTGAGCAGTTTAACTACTCCTCGCACTCTGCCTGGAGAGCAGCTCTTCTGCACAGCGCCTTTCCCACCCACGCACACATGGCAGGAGGGAGGGAGGGAGGTGGTTAAACACAGGACGTGATGATCTGTGAGTCAGACACTTGGCCAAAGCCTCCAGTGCTCCCAGCCTCTCCAAAAGCTGATGTCTCCAGCTTCCTCAGCCATCACGAAAGACTGGCTCTAAAATGGTGCTGTCTGAAGGCACAAAGCTGTTGTGTCCTACAAGAGATAAGGATCTCCTGCAGCTCTGCTTTGTGGAGGGCAAACAAGGCAAGGGAAGCCTGTAGTAAGGCTAGAGGGAGGAAGTCTTGATCTTAACTAAAACACCCCTTTAGCATTAAAGTAAGTATTTTATCCTTATGATACCTCTCCTGTTCTCTGCAATGCAATAAAAATTGAGCCACACTTACCTGCAGGGACTTAATGAGGCCACAGTCAGGTCTCTTTCCAAACAGCTATGCAGCCTCTCTGAGCTGGAGGGGAGAAAAGGACCCATGAACTACTTGGTAGGGACATTCGGGTGCTGAGCTGGAGGCACGTGAGAGGTCCTCGATGTCAGAGGGCTTTGCTGAGCCATGTCTGTGGAGCACCTCGTTGGTGTTCCCGAAGCTTTCGTATCTCTGTACATCTTGTCCCCTTCCCCCAGGAGATCTCCAAAGAGCATGAGGGCGTCTCCTTCCCCTATCTAAAATCCAGCCTGAGCACTGGCTCTCTCAGGCTTGTTAGCATATGCACAAGCCTTAATAAGGAGGAAGGCTGTCACTGTTGTAAGCATATCGGCAGCACTGATGGAACCAGCCTTTCCAGCATAAACCAGTTTGCAGAACCCTGTGATGTGCTGCAGCTTGCAGTGTAAACTGGAATGGGACATGTCCCACCAGGGAATGGCTGGTCACCACGTGGAGAAAGGTCTCTAGAGAGATGCAGGGCAAGTTGAGCTGTCTGTATTATTCAGGTAATGCCGTTTCTCATGCAACTAAGGCAGCAGCTCAGCTGCATTACTAACTTGCCCTCCCCCTGCACTGCCAATGCAACCAAATGCACTGTCAGTGTCCATTGAAGCCTTAGACTCTTCCAAGAACTACTCAAAAAAGCCATTTAAGGAAGAAGCTGTCTTTCTGGACTGGACTCAGGCCTTCTTTTCCTAACAGAGATCACACATGCCCCTTTTTGGTTTGTGTTGTGTTGACCACCAAGCAGAAAAGTGTCTATGCTACTACTTGGTCTGTGTGCCATCAAGGGGCCATGCTGGTTAGTGCGATTGTCCTCCAGACATAAAGGCAAATGTCGCCTCTTCCTCCATATTCTTTGCTGTTGATAAGTGTCACTTGGGTTTTGTCTGTGAATATCCTTTCAAAGCCTGTGTTCCTCTGAACCCTTATATCTACATTCCCAAGAACTTTTCAGACTAGATCTCTAACTCTTCTGCTGCTTAAGTTATCATAACCCTACCCAAAATATACTCCCATGTGCAGCTGGACCTCAGAGGCCCAGTGATGGGTTGAATTCTAAAGATGTGCATTTCTTCAAGCACTTGTTTATTCATCCCTTCACTCCATGGGTTGTGCAGCCTACAAAGCAGCCTGTTAAGCAAGGGATTTTGTACCTTTTTGGTATACACAGGCATCACCATACCCACATGGCGAGTTGGAGGTGGAAAGGACCTGCTGCACACCTTCACTGGTGGTCTGGCCAAGCAGGCAAAGAAAGGAGCATGGATGCTTACATCTGCGTGGATCGGGGGTGGTAGAGTCAACGTGGTCATGGAGCAGACAGACACACACCTGGAGAGAAACCATGAAATCAGAAGATCCTGACGTACTGTCAGTAGCTCCACCACCTGATCCCTCCCTTCGGACTGACAGAGAAGCTAAAGCACTTTTAAATCATTCACCCATACTCCAACAAAGAAAATACTTTATTGCTTAGCTTCCAAGTCAATATAAAAATCTACATTAGTGGCCCAGGGATGCATCACGGTGATGGAGAAGTCGTGTTCTTCACATACAGGGTTTACAGGGAGCATTGGCTTTGTATCTTCCCAGCAGAGCTAGGCGGTTGTATATCATGCTTAACATGTAACTTGTGTTTTCCCACAGGCATCTAAATATCCAGAGGAACTGCTGAGATGTTCCGAGCAGCCTTTTTTCCCACTCTCCTTTGTGTGGTTCTAGTTCCTCTTCATGCTCAGTTTGATGAGGATCCTGGAGATGCCAGTCCTACCTCCTGTGCAGGTATTAACCAGATAATTTAGGTGCCTCTCTCCTTTGTAGGCAGCAATTTCACTGAAAGCAATGGCCATGCTCAGTTGTAAAGCCTGCTCACAAGGAACTGACAGTGGCACGTTACACCTCTCCTGCCCCTTTGCACTCCTGGGCAGTGCCCTGGGGTAGTGATCCATCTGTAGGGAGCACTGTCCTCCACTGAAACTCCCATTTCTGGGTTTGCATTGGCATGCAGAGAGGTAGAGATTGAAGAGCTGGGGTCTGCCAGTGGTGGCTTCTCCCACCTGATGCAGTATTAAATACCGGTCAGTCTCCAGAGCTCAGCTCTGTATCTGATGTCAGAGAATAGTCCATTTTGAATTTGACAATTTCAGCGCTTTTCAGTTGAAACGTGGAGAAGGTGATTTACATATCCAGCCTGACTTTTACAAAAAATGGTAAGATTTTCAAGATTGATTCAATAGTGAGCCGATCTTAGGATTTTGAAGTCCTGGGCACCAGAGAGTCATCTGACCTGAACATAGATGTTACTGCTAGAGCTAAGTGGGACTTGTGCTTTTTCCAGTATCACACTTGGGTACGATCTTTTTGAAAATGTTTATAAATCAGAGAGCAACCAGCAGCCTGGCAGGCAGGGCATTCATTTAGTGTAGGACAGCAAAAGTCATACCCTTGCTCTTCTTCATTCAAACCTGGCATTTAATCCTCAGTTTCCTCATTTCCTCCTACCCAGGTGGAAATAACTCCTGATTAGTAAGACCTGCAACACCCTCACAGGAAGCTGAATCTCGAGCCTCATGCTGTGGTTTGCTCTCTTCACAACTCTATGTGCTGTCCTCTATGTACTGTCTATATACACTTCTTGGTCCAGGTTTCTGGGGGACAGTGAAGGGGGTGCAACAGTGCATGAAGTGCTCTGACATGGTCTGGATAATTGTCTCCATGCAGAAAAGAGGAACTGCCCCATCAATGTGTACTTCATCATTGACACCTCGGAGAGTGTTGCTCTGCAGACTGTGCCTATCCAGAGCCTCGTGGATCAAATAAAGCGGTTCATCCCTGTGTTCATCGATAAACTGGAGAATGAGCTCTATCAGAACCAAGTCTACATCACTTGGCAGTTTGGTGGACTTCATTACTCAGATGTGGTGGAAATTTACAGCCCTTTAACAAGCAGCAAAGACATATACCTCCCCAGGCTGTCTGCTATTAACTACCTTGGCCGGGGCACCTTCACAGACTGCGCTATCTCCAACATGACAGAGCAGATCCAGACCCAGATGGCCTCAGGTGTGAACTTTGCGGTAGTCATCACTGATGGCCATGTCACTGGCAGTCCCTGTGGGGGGATGAAGATGCAGGCTGAGAGGGCACGAGACATGGGGATCAAGCTTTTTGCGGTGGCTCCCAGTGAGAACATCTACGAGCAGGGACTGCGGGAGATTGCCAACCTGCCGCATGAGCTGTACCGCAACAACTATGCCATCACGCAGAAAGACACCCTGGACATTGATGTGAACACCATCGAGAGGATAATCCAAGCTATGGTATGGAGTGCCACCTGAGGTGCAGGGAGTATAACGGGGAGGACAAGAGAAGCAGTGCGTGGTTGGGGGGGATGTTTTCTGAGCAGCCCCGCAGTGGGTTTTGGCAGGGCTCTAGAGAGCACCTCCAGTAGCGAAAAGCTTCCGTTTTGTTTCTCTTCCTTTTCTATGTCCTTTCAGCACTTATGGACCAAATGGAGTCTCAAGCATCTCTAATTTCTCTGGTTAGGTGCTTAACCAGGACTCCTTGGTTTGCGCCTCTGTTTCCCGGCATGTCTGGGCAGACTGCCACCCTAAGCCTGGCTCTGGCTCAAGGCCAGACCCATACCCCAGCCTGCTCCCCATCCAGGGGCGCGTGGAAGATTGTGCAGCACCAAGACACGTGCTCACCATCAGCATGGTCTTTGAGGCCCCACCTGTGAGGCATTGTTCATCGAGGACTCTGCTGAGAACGTCTTTAAAGCCATGGGACCTTTACCACCTCCTCTCCCTTACCATCACACACACCTCCAAGGGTGTGATGCTGTTTTTCTCTTGGGGCTGACCACCTTAACTGATTCTGTTCATCCTTTTTTCTCCTTCGCAGAAACACGAAGCCTACGGAGAGGTGAGTGAGCAGCATCTTTATGCCATTGCCACACGACACAGGTTTAAGTTGCCTCACTTAGAGAAGACCAGCTCGTACCCCGAAGTAGCAGGCCAGATTTTGCAGCAAGCTGCGCAGGATGGGTCTCTGCCCACCTGTGGATCAGTGCAGAGCCTGGGGATCCATCCCTTTACCCAGTGGTTAAAATGGGGTACTGGACTCTTCACTTTCTGCCTCCCCCTCACCTGCAATGAGTTCAGGTCTATTGAATAGACTCATTTTATCACTTTGGAGGCATGTTTTGTAGGTGCTCTGCAAGTTGAATCTCCTGCCCTGCTGGTATCACATGGACAGGGTTTGGCAAACATAGGGAGGAATGTGCAGAGCGATGCTCCAAAGGGCATGTACATGCCCTGATAGCCCCAGAAGAGCAAGCCCACACCACCTTGCCTGACACTTAGCAGTCCTGTTCTTTCAGTTTGGGCCCAGAGCCAAGCCATAATGAATGTGCTTGTGGCAACTTTCTGCTTTTAATTTACGGGCAGCATTTTTCTGCATGTTTGTTGCTGCCTCAACTCTGACCCAGCTGGAGCCATAGTAGTTTTTAGCACTGTGGTCATGGGGAGAGGTGCACGGACAGCCGTGGTGCAGAGCTGAGCTTCAGGTGCATGCTGGCTCAGCATGTGAAGCAGCCAGGACACTGCAGTGTAGCGGTTAAACCTCCTGTTTAATTTGTATTTCAGTGCTACAAGATGAGCTGCCTGGAGATTGCAGGTCCGCCTGGTCCCAAGGGATACCGAGGGCAGAAGGTAAGTCGCCCTAACCTGTGGGAGAGAATAATGCCCGTGCCTGCCACAGACACTGCAGGGTGCCCTAGATCTCACCTCAGCTGCAGCAGCCTTCACAGGCATAGCACCCAGGTGGGAAATAACTCCCTAGCATCTGACTTAGCCCTGGGAGACTGCTGTGCTGCAGTGAATGGAGGGAGCACACAGCCAGCACCGGTGTCTCCACATGTCTGTGCCGAGGCTGATGCATTGACAGCAGTGCAGAGAGGCATCAGAGCATCGGCTGGGGGGGGCGCGGCGCCGCCCCCCCCCCCCCCCCCCCCCGCTCACTGCGATGCTGCGAGAGCATCAATACTGCAATGGGCTCCACAGCTGAAATGGAGAGAGAAGTGCCACTACTGATAGTTAAACAAAAAATTACCGTCAATACCCATGTTTGGAAATACTTGGGAAAGTCTCGGGGCAGGCTGGCTGCTCCCACAGACAGAGCTCTTTTCGCGTCCGGCCAGGCTGGAATTTCTCCTGCTCCATCCCATCCATCATAATTTTATCACTGTAAACTTAAAAGGAGTTATATTACTTCTGAATCGATCCCCACTTCAACACCTGAGGACAACAGGAGTGAGGCAGCAGTTGTCTCCGATTCTCCCACCCTCAAAGCAGAGCTCTCACATGTGCAGGGTGACCCACTCTCCTGCCCCCCACCTCTGTGTGCTTCTCTACCCATACAGTCTTTCCCCAGCTTCCCCGGAATAAAGCAGGTCCCGCTCCGCTAGCACGCTGCCCCAAGCTCTGTAGGAAGAGCCACAGTGAGCCTGATGCTCCCAGAAATTGCCATTTTCTCACAGTCAGCACCAAGCCCTGACTTACGTTGTTTTTTTTCTTTCCTTAGGGTGCAAAGGGGAACATGGGTGAGCCAGGGTCCCCTGGGCTGAAGGGACGACAGGTGAGTTGTGGAAAGTCCCCCCCGCTGCAGCCAGCAGTGCTGCCCCTGCATTAGCTGGGGCCGCATCTCTGCCATGCTCGAGCTAACTCTGTGTCTTCTTCCCTTAAGGGTGACCCAGGTATTGAAGGTCCGATTGGATACCCTGGTCCCAAGGTAAGAATCCCATAGCCACTGACTGAGCTCTTTGCATTTGTTGATTTTTAGTAAAGCAGGGGGAGCGCTGCTTCCCCCTCTCCACCTGCCCGTTTCCCACCCGAGACCCCCGGCATGCCACTGCCTCCACTCCTGCTGATCCCCAGGCACTAACACAGCATTATTCTTCTTTTCTTTTTGTCTAGGGTGTCCCAGGGCTGAAAGGAGAGAAGGTGAGAAAGAAGAGACTGAATGGCTGTCTGGGGACTTGGCAGGGGACGCACACCTTTCTGTTGCAAAAAAGGGAGAGTTTAGCTGTAATGGGGAGAATAACAACCCTATTAATATGTAATTGCAGACTTGGGGAGGGATTTTCAGGGGCATCCCAAAGCCTGTCTCCTTCAGGCATTGCTCATGATCTTGTGAAGTGTTGACATTTTTACTGAGCTAAATGGGTGGGAGGGATGTAGGCAGACTGGCTGACTCCTGTCCTCTTCTTCCCCCAGGGCGAGATTGGATCCGATGGACGGAGGGTAAGGAAGAACATTTTCTAACTTGAGTGTTGTTCCAGCTACCAACCCTTGAGTGTGTGTTAACAGATCGCTGATCCCTCTTCTTTTCCCTCTTGATCCCAGGGTGCTGCTGGTTTGGCAGGCAGGAACGGCACCGACGGACAGAAGGTAACATTACTGGGAGCACCCTGTAATGTTGCTCCTGATGTTTAATTTCTTTACCCCGCCTTGTACCCACAGGTTGTTTTGTTTATCCCATCCCACGCTTTTTGTTCTGACTGAGGTTTCTATGAACTTATTTGCACATTATTCTGCATGTCCTGTAGAAATACTTGAGCTAGCTGGAGATGCATTAATTCAGGTCATAGAAGTGCTATCCCTTCGTCAGCAAGCTCTCTGCAGGAACTAGATGTGTAACACAGCCAGTCCTGCTGCAGGAGGTGATACGGCGAGATCATCTGGGTGTAGATATCTCATCTTGAGTGTTAGTGACCCCTACAGGACATGTGCACAGAAAGATTTGCAGAAATTTGGTTCTCAAGGCAGTTCATCACAGAATTTGAAATTTCATCTCTAAGCTACTGCTTGTTCTTAATATTAAAGCCCTAAAGCCAGGTTCAAGTACGTTGTAACAAAGTCCCTGAAATTCTCTGTCCCCTCTATGGTGAGTGTAGAGGGCTGCATAGAATCATAGAATCATAGAATCATTAAGGTTGGAAAAGACCTCTAAGATCATCGAGTCCAACCGTCAACCCAACACCACCATGCCCACTAAACTATGTCCCTAAGCACCTCATCTACATGTGTTTTAAATACCTCCAGGGATGGGGACTCCACCACTTCCCTGGGCAGCCTGGTCCAATGTTTCACCACTCTTTCAGTAAAGAAATTTTTTCTCTGTCCCCTCTATGGTGAGTGTAGAGGGCTGCATAGAATCATAGAATCATAGAATCATTAAGGTTGGAAAAGACCTCTAAGATCATCGAGTCCAACCGTCAACCCAACACCACCATGCCCACTAAACTATGTCCCTAAGCACCTCATCTACATGTCTTTTAAATACTTCCAGGGATGGGGACTCAACCACTTCCCTGGGCAGCCTGTTCCAATATTTAATCACTCTTTCAGTAAAGAAATTTTTCCTCATGTCCAAAATGTCCTCATGTCCACGACCTCACTTAGATCTGCATGCCATGCAGATGTACTGCAGTGGGATAGCCTAATTTGAGATGATTTCAGCTAGCTTTGTCCACTGGCCAGCCCACATTGATTTTGCTCTGCACTTTCTTGTATACCCAGCCAAGTACACCTGTGAGATAATACCAGTTCTTCTTCCCACTCCTCAAATGCCTGCTGAAGCTCTAAAACACTGAAGTCCTTCAGTCCCCACCACTCTCTATCCGGGGCAAGCTGTCCAAGCACTGCTGACAAAGCCGTTTCAGGGTGCAGAGCAAGGTGGTCACAGCATCCATCAGGCAGCGTGGTTACTGCAGACCTGAGCTGCTCTGACACGAGATGTATGACAGAGGACCAGCACAACCGTGGACGTCAGTGACCACCAAATCCAGCCTCAAGGGACATGTCCATCACCCAGGGCACGTGTGCGGGATGAGCATGCTTGAATTCCCACCAACACCTGTGCTTGCCACTCAGGGCTTTTAGGCTACTTTCTCCTCCTCCATTTGTTTCTGCACACCACACTCCTGTTTAAGGAATACACTTGCTATTTATTCCCTAGTTGATGACAGGTATGGTCAGCAGATGATGTTAAAAATTAGTAACTGTTAACAAGAAAAGCCATATTTTCCCTTCAGACACCTACAGCTTCTCTGTCTTTTTCTTTTGAATGCTTTGTCTCCAGGGCAAGCTGGGAAGAATTGGACCACCAGGCTGCAAGGGAGACCCCGGTGACAAGGTAGGAACGCTTTACTCTTTCATTCAGCTCATCAGTTGTGTAGCTGCTGAATGAGTTGCATATGTAAAAAGATGGCCAACGAGAGGTTACTGGCCCATTTTCCTACCAATTGCATGATCTGATCCCAGGCCTGGGATCCCTGGAATGGGGAGCACAGCCTGATTCTTTTGTGCCTCCTTTCCATGGGCAAGTAAGCTGGGATCCCCCGGTGTCCCTCCCCTCCACACAGAGAGGAGGAGCTGCTCCTTTCATCAACACTAGTAACAAGCAAAAACTATTTTAGTCTCTAAGGCAACTTTCTAAGCCAGTTGATTTATTCTGCAGGGAAAGTGCATATTGTTGCCACTGCAAAATGTGTGGTTCTTTGTCCTTTCCCTCCCTAGGGCCCTGATGGCTACCCAGGTGATGCAGGAGACCAAGGTGAAAGAGGAGACGAAGGCATAAAGGTACAAGTGCTCTGAACAGCGAGCAGAGAGTGTGGGCAGAGGCCACCAGTGGGGACAGCTAAACACCGTTGCCTGTATTTACTCTTAAATCCTTTGCTACTCTGAGTCCTTCCAGACTCTGGGGTCTGGATCCCATCACCAGGCACAGGAGCCAAGGGAAGAGCCTTGCTGGCCCTGCTCCGTGGGCTTCTCATGGTGCACGTCAGTGGTGCGCAACAACATGATGATGATGATGCAGGCAATGACCATTGCTCTCTGGCTGTTTCAGGGAGATCCTGGCCGGCCTGGTCGCAGTGGACCCCCGGGACCTCCAGGAGAAAAAGGAAGCCCGGTAGGTTCATGCAGCATTCAGATGTCTGCAGTGTCTTACTAGGGTCTGCTCCATGTGGCATGGAGCCGGAGCAGTATCAGCTGGTCACAGGGCAGATGCAGTATAAAAATGACTGCTCACCAACGCATCCTGGTGATTCTGCAAATTAGCCCACGAGCACGGAGACAGCACAAGCCCCTGGGTGGTCGAATGAGCTCTCCCGCCATGCGTGTCCCCACCAGTACAGTGGGAAACGTCATGTGAGCAACAGGAGAGGGAACTGCACAACATCCCTGCAGCTGCCCAGAGCAAAATGAGAATGGGTCTTGAGCATTTGTCCAGAGCAGAGAGAAGCAGGCAAAATAGACTTAGGAGGATTTACCTTTCTAGCTGATCCATTGCACTGCATCTTTCCTTCTCTTCCCATCTTCTCCTGGGTAGAAAGGCCCTGTTTGGCCGTGGTTTCCCCTGCCACAGTCTCATGACTTCCTCAGTGTTTGTGGCAGTGCCAGTGTTTGCAGGCTGTTTTTACTCATATGAGTAAATTTTAACGATTAATTGCTCAGAGATCTAACGCAGGCTCTACCCACTGTACTTGACCTTATAGCCAAAGGGGTTGCTATGCTGATGGCCAGTTACTTCAGAGATAGTGGAGGAGGCTGAAATAGCCCTCCGGCTTTAGGCAGGGCTGGACAGATGCTGTAAGGAAGAGTTGACAAGCCTTTGCACTGGTTGGTGGAGGAAAGGTGACACAGCATCATGCTGCTCCAAGGCTGGAGCCTGTGCACATAGCTTTGACATGTAGGCATGGTGGGAGTGTGGAAGCATAAGTTGTGTGCTCATACACGCATCTGCTCAAGTGGACTGCTTGACACAGGACAAGAGGTGTGTATGTGTGTGCACCTTGACCTCTCTTCTGACAAATTGTATTTCTTTTTCTTCTCCAAGGGACTTCCAGGCAACGCTGGAGCTCAAGGGCCTGCTGGAAGTAAGGGAAGAAGAGGTGAAGCAGGACCTCCTGGACCCAAAGGAGAGCCCGTAAGTGTCTGAATAGCTCTCTGGACAGTGGGCACATCATGGGAGCCTGATGCAGTTTCATGGAGAAACTGCCCCACTTAGCCTGCCTACTCTGCCTTCTGCATCCCAAAAGATGTACAGATGCTGATCTCCTTGTCTCCCTCATCTTCATAGAGCAGTACTTCCATAATCCTAAGCCTGATGTTAACCATTTCACCTTAGAGAAGCATCCTGTATTCCCACATAACCACAAATGCCTCTTTGGATGCCCAGGGACCCTTTGGCTGTACTCTAGCAAGTTCCCCAAACCTCTGGCTTTTCACAGGAGCTCACAGAGTCAAGATCTGGTGGCTGTTACAGTAGAGCTCTCTGAAAAGGGCAGCATTGAATCACAGCTGTGTTACGACATTGATGGTGCCACACAGACCCAAGCTAATGTGATGGGGCACTGCAAAATTTGGGGAGTGGGTTGGAGATGACGTTCCCTGGCAGAATACAGCAGCATGGCTCCACCAGCACCAAGAGGCCAGAGCCCAGCTAGCTTGTGTCCTTGTGCAAGATCCAGTGCGGGAAGCAACGCCGGATGAGCTGGAAGTAAAGCAGTCTTTAACCCTGAGGGAATGAACCACAAGTGTTTGTGGTCACTGCAGTGACCGTCCTCCTGAAAGAATAGTCTGGCTGTGGCTTCCCAAAAGCCAAAGGCAAGATCCCCCAGGCAGTGCCAGCATGGGCATCCCTGCTACACTGCTGCCAGGCACATGCTCGCTAAGGGGGCAAGGATACGCCTCTTGGGCCAGGAGGAAGAAGGTAGGGCAGCCAGGCGTCACTGTTCAGGTAGCATCCATCTTCACATTCTATTTATGTGACTTTCTATGTCTGCCAAGGGTCGACGTGGAGATCCAGGGACAAAAGGCAGCAAAGGCACTCCTGGGGCCAAAGGAGAAAGGGTGAGTAAAGCAACTGCCCAGACCATTGCAAATGAGCCCAAGATGCACAGGACTAGTGTGTGTGATGTGCTGCTGCCCAGCCATGAAGTGTCCAACACCAGAGCTGGGAATTGCAGATCCCAGTGGGCTCTGCATGTGTGCTTTGCTTCCACTGTGCCTGCTGCCTGCCCTAGTGGCAGCAGGTACAGCCTCCTCTTCCAGGGCTTGATCCAGAGAGGGGATGAAGAGCAGCAAAGCTCAAGGCTAAGAGACATGTTCAGAGAGCACGCTGCCCTGACACTGTGTTTCAAGCCAAGAAACACCAGATTTGAGAATGGCATCATGCCTCCTCGCTCCAAGGAGCACTGCCATGCACACAAACAGCATTGGAGACATCCATGACCAGGAACATCTTTACCCTCCTCACAGGGAGATCCTGGTCCAGAGGGTCCTCGTGGCCTGCCCGGTGAGGTTGGAAGCAAAGGATCAAGGGTAAGCACAAAGCAGGGGTTGGTGACAGCCAGGAGGGAGGGAGAGCGCTGCTGCCGTCCAGGGCAGCTCACCTGGCTTTCCTCCTCATGCACACCTGCCTATACCTGCCTCTGTACATTCTTGCTTCTTGCTTTGCTTTGCAGGGAGACCAAGGACTGCCAGGACCCCGAGGCCCTTCAGGTGCTGTGGGAGAGCCAGGCAAGATAGTAAGTCATCCTGGGGCATCTGTGTGACCGTGTCCTCCCTCTGCAGTGAGAGCTTTCCCTACTGACATAAGCTGGCTGCACTGTCCCTCCCAAGGGGAGCCTGCCTGACATTTTCTCAGGGAGGCTAAGAACTAGCCCAGAGGCCCTGGCTAGCCCCTGGGGCAAGGAGAAATCACAAGACCCGGGAGTACCTGCTTCTCCATCACTCCTGGTCCCAGGTGTTCCCATGACAATATAGAAGGGACCACCAGAGTGGGTCACGGGGCAAGGGAAGATGGGGCTCCCCGGGCGCCCATTTGTCTTGGGTCTGTGGTTAGCCCAGCACCCCACTGTGGCAGTAGTGCCGTGACATCCATGTGGCTCCGCGGGACGTGGGAACCCAAGTGCTGAATCAGTCACTATCACAGTAACCTCATTGGGAGGGGAGATGGTCCTGCAGCATCGTCTCAAGAGCTGGTTTCTCCAGCACAGTCCCCTATGTGGCCGGGGAGCTGCAAGGAACATCCTCACCCACTCCCTGCGCTCTCCCCAACACTATCCTGCAGGGATCACGTGGGGACCCTGGTGACTTGGGCCCAAGAGGTGATGCCGGACCACCAGGACCGAAGGTAAAGTCCTTGAATGCAACTCTGCATTTGAAAGGGTATTTTTGTGTGGGTTTTGGGGTTTTTTTTTAAAAAAAAGGCAGTTTCCACTGCAGAAACTTGTGTGCTTCAGAAACAGAATGGCTCAAACCTGAGCATCCCTATGGGGCAGAGATGTAGGTCTTGCTCTGACCAAGGCAGCTCTGATTACATCCCTCACCCTGCACAGATTCAGGGGTGTCCCTGGCATGCGACGTCCCCAAGACGCCGTGAAGCCTCACTCCGCACAGCCATTCCCAATGTTTCAGGGCTAGCTGCAGAAGTCACGGCTCCTGGTAGTGTCTCACCCTGGGAGGGGATGAAAACAGCTCTGGCTGTCGCTGGCATCACCAGGTCAGAAAGGCTGGGTTTGGTTTCTGACAGAATATCTTTTTTCTACCAAAGGGTGACAGAGGCAGACCTGGCTTTAGCTACCCTGGACCCAGAGGACCGCAGGTAAGCATGCCTCGTCCAGCGTAGACATATGCACCGTGAGGAAGCCTGTTTCGGTGGAGGTTGCTGTTGGAGCTGAGCAGCCTGGGAGAAGAGGGAAGAAGAAAAATTATCAGGGTCACAAAAAAGTGAAGCCCGCAAAGGGGGCAAGGGGGTTGAACACCAGGAGTGAACCTGGCCACAGCTCCATCAGCCTTGTGGCAGAGGTACTGAGGACTGCAGCCTCAACGGGAGTGATGGGGAGGTGGCTGTGCCCACCACTCCAACCATCAGCCTGAAGCTACACTTGCTGTTCAGCTTTGTTGCCCCTCACTGCAGACTTCGGATGTATGCGTGCACAGTGCGGGGCTGGTACTAGTCAGGTGCTGACCTCTCCCTCCTCTCCCTTCACAGGGTGACAAGGGTGAGAAGGGGCAGCCGGGACCCAAGGTGAGTGTGTTTGTCTCCGTCGCCTGTTTTTTGTACTGACTGAAATGCCGAGTAGCTGTCGCCTGACCCTCTGGGTGCGTGGCCGAGGAGCCTGTCCTGCCAGCAGCTACCCTGGCTAATCCCTGCAGCTGCAGAGCCTGGGTGTATCTCCCAAGCCCACCTCCTTTTGAAACCATCCAAAATATGCTTTGCAAAACTTCTTTATTCTTAGTTAATGCCTGTGTAAACACTGTTTATTTGCTCTGCACCGAGCTGCTGGTTTAGAGGGTGCTTTCCCGGGCCAGGCAGGCATGTGTTTTTGACAGGCTCATAGCAGTAGTGCATCTGCCTGAGCACATCCAGATGTGCTCTGTGTCAAATCTGTTTTTCCTTCCTTTGAGCAGGGAGGAAGAGGTGAGCTTGGACCAAAAGGAGTGCAAGGGACCAAAGGAGAGAAGGGGGAACCGGTAAGCAAACTTCCCATACTGCCCGCGGGGTCAGTGTCCCACTCCCACACCTCTGCCAGGTGTGCTGGGGATGGCCCTGCCCGCTCTCCTGCCTGCCCCATGTCCCCAAGTTCAGCTGTGGCAGGCTGGTGACTGCATTTAGCAGGGCTGTGCCTGATGAGGGGGTCAGGAGGAGCCCCGAATACCAGTGGCTGCATCACTGGCCTTGCCGGGGAAATATTTGACACTTCTTTGCTTCTTCCCCAGGGTGATCCTGGCCCAGGAGGTGAGCCCGGACCCCGCGGTCCAACTGGTGAAGCAGGCCGCGAGGTACAGTACCATGCCATCGTGTCTGAGCAGATGCTGCAGCTCCCTCCTCTCCTCCCCACTTCTTGATGCTCTAAGGCCCAGAGAACCCCAGTGGGTCTACCTGCAGCAGGGCTTGCTGGAGGGGACACCAGCTGCCAGACGTGTCTGCTGGCTCCCAGCAAGGCTTTCCTACCCTTCCCATGGCAGACCTTTACAAAAAGCCATGTTTTTGATGGCTTTGATGTCTAGTTCCCAAAAAGGGAAAACTGTGCCTGAAATCCCTGTGCTCTTCTTACAGGGGACCCCCGGCCCACCAGGAGATCCTGGCCTGACTGTAAGTAGCACTGCTCTGCAGCCCCCGGTGCTCTTCCTCCTGGAGCAACTGTGGCTTTGCCGTGCACAGCCTGAGAATGAAACAGGGCATCAGGTCCTGCCACTGCCCCGCAGAGGTGGCCTGTGGCTTCCCACGGGAGCCAAGGAAAGAGGAGAGGGGGCCGGCTGGGTGGGAAGGGAAAGGGGAGCCTTTCCCTTAGAGGGGATGGATGCTGTGTAAGGGGAGGGAGGCATTCACCCTGCACCCCTTTGCTGGCAGGACTGCGACGTGATGACCTATGTGCGAGAGACGTGCGGATGCTGTGGTGAGCAGACCATTACCTCTCCCCAGGGCAAGGAAACGACCACTCAAGGAATGGGGAAAGGGGGTCACCAGAGGCTGCCTCATTCTTCAGGAACTCCCTTGAGGGAGCTCTGCCCCGTGAGCTGCCCTTTGCACTGAGCCGCTGGCACGGTGGGCTCTTTGCCGCTCTGCACAGCACTGTACCCTGCAGAGGAGACACCACGGGAAGTCCTTCCCTGCTCACCCTGGTCCCAGCCCACCAGTGAGTGCAGTGGCACTGCAGGGGCAGCCTGGCTTACCTCCCAAAATTTAGCTCTGACATCACAGGAGCAGTGAGCTGTAATATAGAGTTGCATGGTCCAGATAATAGGATAGAGTGTATTACACAGCAAGATTAAAAAGGTTTCTTTTGATATACGTCGACAGAAAGATGTATGTAAAATCCTCCCTATGCTGCCAGCTGCGGGCAGCACCACAAACCCTGTGGATGCTTGCTGTGATGCTAACTGTCTCTGTCTTCCCATAGAGGGTCTCTTCTGCCCTGGTAGCTCTTGTTCCCACCATCATTGACCTTCATGTTTTCCTCCTTCTGTCCCTCTCCCCAGACTGTGAGAAGCGCTGTGGTGCCCTGGACATCATGTTCGTCATAGACAGCTCAGAGAGTATTGGCTACACCAACTTCACCCTGGAGAAAAATTTTGTTGTCAACGTGGTCAGCCGGCTGGGCTCTATTGCCAAGGACCCCAAGTCGCAGACAGGTCTGGACTGTGTGGGGACAGAGTGGGGCATGGGGAAAAGAAAAGGGTCTTGGATCCCTCCAGCTTCCACATTTGTCTGTAGCTGCCCAGGGCTGCAATCCATCCGTCCAGCATTTTCGCAGCAGTTTCTGCTCTTCCCTCTTCCCTTCCCAGCTTTGTAGGCCAATTGGGCAGCTCTTTGTTGATACAAAAGTTTGCTGACTTTCTCCACTTTTCACTGAGGATGCAAAGGCAAGTAATGTGACACTTCATTGGCAGGTGCCCGTGTTGGGGTGGTGCAGTACAGTCACGAGGGGACATTCGAAGCCATCAAGCTTGATGATGAGCGCATTGATTCACTGTCGAGCTTCAAGGAAGCAGTGAAGCGCCTGGAGTGGATCGCTGGAGGCACCTGGACACCATCTGCCCTTCAGTTTGCCTACAACAAGCTCATCAAGGAAAGCAAGCGAGAGAAAGCCCAAGTGTTTGCTGTGGTGATCACAGATGGGCGCTATGACCCCCGGGATGATGACAAGAACCTCGGGGCTCTTTGTGGTAGAGATGTGGTTGTCAACACCATTGGCATTGGAGACATGTTTGATCAGCCAGAACAGAGCGAGACCCTGGTCTCCATTGCCTGCAACGAACCCCAGCGAGTCCAGAAGATGAGGCTCTTCTCGGACCTGGTGGCAGAGGAATTCATTGACAAGATGGAGGACGTGCTCTGCCCAGGTCTGCACCTGTTCTTGCACAGTTCATACTGGAACTGGAGTTTTCACCCACAGGGTTTGGGATGGGAGGCCTATATGGTGTGTTGCAACAATTGCAGAGGCACTGTGTCTCAGCAGGTTGGTCAATAGCTCATAAGCTGGGTCATTCATGGTGGGGGCTGACCGTTATGTAGCCCTGGATAAACAGTCCTTTCTCAGATACAGGCCAGCCTTTTGGGGCAGTCCTTTGGAGTCCTTTCCCCTTGTAAGAGACCTTGCCCTGCCACCCTGACTGCAAACTGTGAAGGGGGATGGCAGCACATCACTCAGTTTTCCTTGTTTCTTTTCCTTCCAGATCCACAGATCGTCTGCCCTGAGCTGCCCTGTCAGACAGGTAAACATTACAAGTAGCTTCATGCCATCTGCACAAAGTGGTAGGTCTGGGGGAGAGTGTACAAGGCTCAGGAATGAGACAGGGGTGTGCAACCCTGTTCATTCCCTTTGGATGGCAGGAGTTCGGGAAATAGTGTTACTTTACATGAGGAGTTTCATCTCCTGCTCTTTTCCTGTCTCTCTGAGTTCTCTGCACAGGTAGGTACAAGTGCACCATGTTAGGGCACCAGCATGGCTCAGCCCTGATATTTCTCCCTGTCCCAATTCCTGGGAGCCACCAGGTTTTGAACTCCAAACTCAGCAATTAATTTCTCACTTGTTCCATGTCTCTATTATACATCAAGTCAAAACCCCCTTGCTAAACTCTCCCACCCATGCGACCTTTGAAATGCAGAGCCCAACCTGCAGCACTGGGCAGGATGCTCCTTGGGAGTGACAAGGGCAGAGCAGTGGGTAGGGACCGTTTGGAAAATGACACCGTAGTGTACTCAAAGCTTTGGCTTTTCTAACACTGGCTGTATTTAATTAACAATTAACTCAGGATGTTGGATTAAAGGAAAAAGGCTGTAAGGATCCTCTGGTTTAAAGGAGACGGCTGCTGCTCGCTGCAGGTAGCTTTACTTGATCACATTTTGCTTGTTAAGGGGCAGATCTGCAACCTGAATTCCTAGAGATCCTGTCTGTTTGAGTCTCTGTGCCTGTTTAAATACAATAGATGCACTATTTGCTGATATACACAAAGCTTGGAGGGGACAAAGTTTTGCCAGTTCTTGCAATTTTTACCTCTACTCTTGCCGTGAATGTTTTTGTGAAAGTCCCCAGCTTCAACTCAGTATTATACAGAATCTCAAATTTCATTTTCAAAGAAGTTCCTTCATTTCCATACAAAACAAAGGAAAACTGGTCCCAGGATGCTCAGAAATCTGAAGACAGAAAAGCTATAATTATTCCCATCTAAAATCTCTCACTAGTATTTTGAGTATTTGCACCTGGCCATGCAGAGAGCACAATGTCCAACCATGATGCTTGAGCTATCCACACAGGCTCCTCTGTAGTGTCCTCTGAGGAGCTTTGTCCTGCGGATCTGTGCACAAGGAGGTGACTTCCCCATGCCACACTGGTGACTGCTCAGGTGTCTTCAAAGGTTTTGGTCTTTGCAGCCTCCCCATTTCTGAGGAACACTGCAGCAGAGAGACTGACCCAAGCAGTGGTGCGCTCATGTTCTCCTAGGCTTGGGGCCATCAAAGCCCTCCAAAGCAAGGCGAAGTTGGTGGTCCTTTCCCTGTAGTGCACTTGGGTGTTTCTGTTCCTGATGCAAGGTGAGAACAGTTCGCTGGTACCTGACAGTCCTGGGGACCAGAACAGAAATGGCTTGAGAAAGCATCTGAGGGGGTTCCCTCTTAGGCGAATCCCTCAAGCCATGCCGTAGGCATGCCAGATCAAGTGCAGGCCCTACACCTGCGCCCCAGAGGACATGGGAGGTGGAGTGACATGGCTGGGTAGGTGTGGGCCTTCTGTGAAAGTGCCAGTACACCCATCTCAGCATGGGCAAAAGTTGTCCTGGTGTGCAAGGATCTGTGCTAGGCCCAGTAGATCAAGTTATAAGTGATACCCAGGGATTCAGGGGCCTTTGGGCAAAGCGCCTTCCACCCGCCGCACTGGATAGTCTGTGATGCATTGCTATTTATTTCTTCATTTAGAAGAATTTGCCATGATCACACTTGCCTAGTGGCAAGGGAACATGTTGGATAAGATGTGACATAAGGCATGTGGCAGAGCCTGGGGCTTCTCTGCTCAGTGCTCAGCTTCCTCTGGTTCTCTGAGAACATCTCAAGAGTTGGTGCCAATTCACGTGCAAACCCTTTGGACGGAGACAGTGCCCTTTGCAGGGTATGTGAGTGAGCTTTGTGCACATCCAATGCATGTATCCAGTCGTAGACAGGCCAGACAGGTTCAGGTCAGGCAGTCAGGTACACCCAGCCCTGTTCTTGGCCCCATGGCTGTCAGAGTTGCAGTCCTGGCACTTTGAGGAGCAAATCAATTGCTCGTGCCAGGTACCCCAGCTCCAGCCTGGGTATTGTCAGCAAAGCACAGAGAGGGACAGGTATTAGATATACTCCAGCTTCCTCCCTGCTGCCTTGCAGAGCCAGGCACGTCACCACTTCAGGTTCACATCTGCAGCTGAAGGCATGCTGCCTCAGTGCTTTGCCTAAAGAAATCCAGGTTTTCCTGTTTTCAGGGCAGACTCTTGTCTCTCTGTTACCACCCATCGATTACTGCAGTGCTAACAGGATGCTGGATTGTTAAATGGGTTAAATGCTGAGCAAATCTGAACTGACCACTTGCTTCAATAGAAACCGCATGATGCTCTGTGACGCTTTTTCTAACCCATGCAAAAGGCTTTGCTTTGGGCTTTGGGATGTTATTTGAATTTAAGTTCAGCATAGCCAACTGGAGACAGAGGCTCTCGGGGTCCTGACTAGCCCGGACACCACACAGGAGCATTGCACATCGCAGGGCAGTGACTCTAGCCAAAGCGCAGTGGGCTCAGTGCCAGGCAAGGAGTTCACATAATGCTGTCCCTTAGATGTCTTTCTGGCTGTACAGCATCATGTGTACAGTTTGCACATAGTAGAGTTCAAAGCTACGTGATGGCTGAATCCTATATGCAGAAAGAACCTGGACCCCATGGCCCTCTTCCTGAGTGCTGCTCTTTCTCCATCGTGCCTATGCCGGATGAGTGGGAAGGAACTGGGCAATTAAGGATTCGTGTCATTTTCTGAGGTCTCTCGGTTGATGTGTGATTGATTTGGCACGAATCCCATGGTTCCTCAGACATAAAAGTGGCAGAAAGATTTAAATTCTGGCTTTGGTCTTTACTTCTCTGTCCCTCGTTAGCTCTGTTCTTCTCTGGTGCAGTGCATGTAGGAAAGCCAGGTAGCATTCAGAGACACAGCCATTGCTAGCAAGCCCTGAAAATATTCTTTTGACGCTCACTTGCAGATGACAGGAACCCTGGGAACGTAAACCCACTTATTTTCCGCCCCATGGAAGAGGGAGTCAACATAGATTTCCCCAGCACCATACACTCGATCGCCCAGTTCCTAAACTCCACGCGGGAAACCCAGGACCCCAGCATGTACACCCAGCTGGTGGCCACTTTGGCCTTTACCGCCGAAAAAGCCAAGTTTGCCACTGGAAATGAGCGGCAAGAGTGGATGGACTTGTTCATTGACACCTTCAAAATGGTGCACAGCGAGATTGTGGGGGACCCAGAAACTGTGCTAGGGCTTTGCTGACATCTCTGTTAGAGATCGCATGAAGCAGGTGGAGGCAGAGGTTTAGTGGAGGTGGTAATCAACTTTCCTCGAGTGCCTGTTTGGTAGAGGGGACAGGTACATTGGTAGATGCTTTTAGTTTAGGAGAAACACAGGCAGTGAAACAGCTTGGTTGCGCTCAGCTGGGGATGTGACAAAAGGGGCAGTCCTCTCCGGCATGGCTGGCTGATGAACATGGTGGCTTTCTCCAGTGATGTCAAGAGATGCTGTTGTTTTGCCCACTGCTTTTCTGCAGAGAGGCTGCGTTGCCTCGGTCTCTGAGCCAGCCACGCTGCTCCCCTCCAGCCCTACCGCACTCCCACCCTGCTCTGACAGGCTAGCATGTCCCAGCCCTCAGCAATGCGCGAGCACCAGGCTCCACCAAGGAGACTGCCGGCACGCACATGGCTGAGGGCCAGAGCGAGCCCCTCTTTTGCAGAGAGCCTAACAATGCGCTTTTCCCATGCCTTCCTGCGTATGTATTTGCTCACCGTTTCTGAAGCATCTTCTGTATCCTCTCGCTGGGTTACCATAAGGGCTTTCTTTGGGTCCTGCAAACCATTTGTGTGGCAAGACTGGCAAAGCAAGGTGCATCTCCAGTGAGTGTCTCTTTACAACCATTCAATGGGCAGTTGAGGATATTGAGGGGAAAGATCAAACAGTATGGGAGAAGGGGCAACCCTGGCTTTCCATCAAGAGCACCAAAACCTGGGGAGTGCTTCTCTCAGAAGCTGTATGAGCTCCCTCTGCCTTTTTCTCTGCTTGTACATTTGTGTTTCTTCTGTCTTAATTAGCAACATGTACCTGTTCATATCCAAGAGGTAGAGGTTATGTAGGACTAGGCAGTCCAAAGCAGAAATCCATGACTGCACAGTCAAACCTCTGTGATACGTTACATGAGCTATTTAAAAGGAAGTATTTAAACTTGTAGTATAAGCCATTCAATCCATACCCAGTGCTAGTTCGGTTCAAAGAGACTACAGACCCACCACTTGCGCTGTGGGTACATGCATTTAGATGAGGAGTGATATTTCCATGAGGTCAGCTGCCCCTGGTTTTCACAAGAAGTCAGGCAGGTGACTGCCATTCCTGCCCCCAGAATAACTATTGCCCTCTCAAGCTGTAGGAAGAGAAAATGGCATTTCGTGTGCAGACATAAGAGTAGGAGTGTTTACTGCTGGCAAGTGAATTTTGCAGCCTCTCTAACTGACATGGTATTATTGCAATAAAGTATACTGAGTAAATGTCATATTTAATGGGCAGAAGGGAAATGTACAGTCTTCAAAAATGCAGTTGGGCTGTAATGTTTCCAGGTGTACAAAGTGGAGCCAGTTGCCAAGCTCAGGCATGGGAACTGGAATGAGGAATTTGCCCACTTGGAACTTCTTACAGTGTTTTCAACATCTGGGGCTTACCAGTCTAGGCTAGAAGCAATCCGGCGACAGGCACGCAGGGGAGGTGTTTGTGTCACTCAGCACATGAGCAGGTCAGATGCGCTGCACAAAAACAGTCTTTCTCCCAAGTTTTCAGCACTTTTTGCTCCCAGTCTATAGGGACATGGAGCTTAGAGAATTCCGCTGTTGGCATATAATGGAGGGAAAATTGTTCAGAGAGCTTTAAATGGTGTGCTCAGTTTTAGGTGAAGGCAAAAGGATGCAGATCTGCCTGTGTGAGTCCATATGCTAGTGTCTGGTCGTAATCCACATATTGGAGATAGTCTGTGCAAAGCCAAGCTCCCCAATCTGTTTTGATTTTTATCCCAAAAGTAGCGTATGACTTAGCCTGCTGGGATGCAAGTAAGATGACTGAACTCAGAGTAGTTAAGATGCTCCAGCCATGATGCTAGAGGAAAAGCCCCAAAGAAACACTGATTTGAAGAGAACATCTCAGGGCTGGGACATCTTGCTGAACAAGATGAGGATTCGGCAAGACTTCAGTAAAGGGGGTTTAGACCTCATTTTCCTTTGGAAATATTTCCTAGCAAAGCACTGCAACATTGGAAACGAAGTTTTTTACCTCTCGAAAACCTTCAACTCATTATGGAAAAAAAAAAGAGAGATAAAAAAAAAAAGATTAAAAAAAAAAAGAGAGAAGATGTCCCTTTGCCTGAGCAGTATTTGTGTTGGCCCTTGTTAGACAGAGGCAAGTGGGTGTAGTGATGTTTTGCTAACATAATCCTGGCTAATCCCTCTGATAAAACCAGATAGATTTCATCACAGCAGCGGTTCCTTCAGTGAAGCTCTTGGGCAAAGGAAGGACACAGATCAGGGAGTGGATGCGAAAGGGGGAAGCCCCAGAAAGGGCTGGGAGGTCAGTCCCCATCTCACTGTTGCTTTCATCTCCACTGTCAACACTGTGAAACAATAGAGGAAATACAAGTTACCCAGGTTTTAGAAGAAGCAGGAACATGATGTGAATGGGTGGGGTTACTCTGCACATGTGGTAACTAATGACAGGATTGCTAATGACAGGAAAATGATGGTATTTCTGCTTTTTGTGCTATCTCTGTTAGATGTCCTCAGCTGTGTCCTAGCACACCATATGCAGTACGGTGAGCTGCAGGCATTCGTGCCTTGCTGTAAGCTGCATGAGAAGGACTGGTGCTCCAATTAAAAACATGATGTGAAGATTTTAGTTGGCCTAATTCGTGATGGTGCCTCCAAGAGCTTATCTCCCAGTTAAGGACGAGAATCTTGTTCCTTGCTGCAGGAAAGGGTGCTCGGGTCCTCAGCCTCCCAGAAATGGGAACAAGCTGCAACCGAAGCGTGACACTGAACAGGACAAACCCAAGGTTTTGCTGTGCTGCCTTGCATCTGTTATGTTCCCATGGGATAACTCATATGTAAAGGCATCTTATCACACATCTCGAAGGCAGCCCTCTGCAGCCGTGAGGGCTGAGGAGCAAGCAGAGTGTCTCTGGGGAGTGCTCCTGCAGTAGAGGCTGCCTGGACAGCCAGAGATGCGTTACACTCTCACTGAAGCTTCATGGAGTGATGCTGCTCTCAGCCGCGGTCTGCTTAACTAGGAGCTCTTAAGGCTTGCTTCGGGTCATGTGGGAGGCGGGTGGATCTTGCTTGTCATCTCAAGAAACATGACTACGTGTAGACAAGCATCGGGGGAGACAGACTGGTAACACTTCTCCAACACAATATGCAGCCCTCACTTCCGCCTGCTCGCTTCCACCTGCTTTTGCAGACCCCTATGTAGATTTCGGACTGTGTGGTTGCAAGGGGCATGCCTTCCTTCCTTTCCCCCTCCACGACTACACAGAGCAGGTGAGGACCAGGAATGCAGGCACTGCCAAGACAAAGCATCCTTGTGGCAGCAGTGCCTGTGTACTGGGAACTGCAGCATCAATGTACCTTTAGACAACATTTCTCAAGGAAAGTTGGGCAGAGGTGAGTACATATCTTTATTGCTTTAAAGGAGTGGAGTATCGCAGTTGAATTTCAAAATGCGATATTCAAAAAGCTCATGGGGGAAAAAGCATCGCTTGGAGATTGGTTTCTACTGCAGTCGGAACTGGCATTGCAGAAGCAATGTTGCAGTTAGCAGTAAGACAATGTGCAGTAAGCACCATTCAAGGCATGCCATCATTGTAGATGTTTTGCAGTGTGGGCTAAGGAGAAATGCCAGTCTACAAGGTCAGGGAACATGATACAGAAACAAACACAGACTTTTGCAATGTCCAACGAGTTAGGTTAAACCACAAGTACCAGCAGAAGTTCCTGCATCAGGTTTGACTGTTTTGTCATGGACAGAAGTGGTGCCAAATAGTCTGCAAGCTCAACGACATGCACCATCAGAGCTTCTGCTACACTATCTTGTGCTGTTGGATTCATGTTGGACACTGTCTCTGTAGTGTCAAGAGTGCATGTATCTATTTTGCTTAAAATACAACTTCTCTGTTTGCCGAATGTTGACTACACACATAGTACTAAGGTACTAAACAGTGATCCATTTGTTGCTCAGCTCATACAAGGAATTACACCGGTTCAGCACCCCACCATGCTGAATCCAGGTGTAACAGCATTCAGCACTGAGGAAGCACTTTGTCAAGTTGGATTTGCTCATGGTGCGGAAATTCAACCTCATGTGATACTCCTATCCCAGAAGTTACCCCTCATTGCCAGAAATGGATGCTCAAGCTGGGGCTGCTCCAGAGTCTCCTATTCCTTGCCAGTCATGCAACACAACATGACATCGGCTCCATGACTTTACCCTTTCGAGATTCAGTCTTAGAGCCACAGAATTGCTTGACAGTGACATGGCCATTGCCCTGCTGCCAACTCAGGGGGTTGCCAGCCGCAGCATGTACATCACAAATCAATACTGCTGTTGCAGTCATATTCCTGACTAGTGCTTTCAGCAGTGAAGGAGACTCAAAAGAAGAAGAAGAAAATTCAACAGTGCAGTAATGGAAATGTTTCTCGGAGAAGCAGTGCACACAGAGAAACACCAAATGAAATACACATAACTACTGCAAAGGAATGAAATAATGGTCCCTAACTAACAGCTGTCTCCAAAGATTGCTATTTTCTTCTCCCTTTTTTTCTGAGTTAATTCACTGTGTATATTCATATGCCCACATGCCCACTTTGTGGACAGGTGCTGTTCTGAGTGACTGAAGAACAATATCCCACTGTGTTTCACTCAAATATGGGTTTGTTACATTTTACAAAAGCTGCTTTACTACATACAGGTGCATCAACAAGGATAGTCTTGTTTTCCAACCATATGACCCAACCTTTATAAGCTCTTCAGGAATTAGTGATTGCTGATTAAACTAATCTAGGTGAAAGGTATGAAAACAGCTTTCATCCTACAAATCTGTGTGTGAAGAGTAACTCTGAAAGTAAACCACTGTCTAGAAGTAACTGAGAGGTTTGCAGACACTGCCTGCCATTAATCTCTGGATATTCCTGTTACAGATAAGACCTGGGCACTGCTGTAAGAAGGTGGATGTAATTCTGGGACTGAAATGCACAGACCTGTCTAATTTCATGGATGCTTATGGAGGTCTGTCATAGGCCCCAGAATTAACATTCGTTAAGACCTAGTGCCCAGGAGCTGAGGGAATCAGAAGCAAAGCTCCTACATTACCAGCTGCAAAGACAGGCTTTGGCACCAGAGTGGGGCTGGTCCTTCTTTGGACAAAGATGCATGGAGGCGACTCCAGCCCAAACTGCCTGAGGCAAGCCCCAACCTTGTCCTGTAGACTTTCTTATGCTCCCAACTCTTGTCTTCTTTTTCTCCTGTAGAGCTTGCAGTGGCCCAGTGCACACAGCGCCCCGTTGACGTCATCTTCTTGCTTGATGGCTCTGAAAGGATTGGGGAGCAGAATTTCCGCAGTGCCCACCGCTTTGTGGAGGAGGTGGCCCGACAGCTCACGCTGGCCAGGAGCAACAGCGACAACATGAATGCCCGGATTGCTCTGCTGCAATATGGCAGTGAGAGGGACCAGGATGTGGTCTTCCCACTGACCTACAACCTGACAGAAATCTCCAATGCCCTGGCACAGATCAAGTACCTGGACTCATCCTCCAACATCGGGTCAGCCATCATACATGCCATCAACAACATCGTGCTCAGCCCGGGAGATGGGCAGCGACTCGCCCGGCGTAATGCTGAGCTCTCCTTTGTCTTCATCACTGACGGCATCACAGGAAGCAAGAACCTCGAGGAGGCCATCAACTCCATGAAGAAGCAAGACATCATGCCCACGGTAGTGGCTCTTGGGAATGATGTAGACATGGACGTCCTGCTGAAGCTTGGCCTCGGGGACCGGGCAGCCATATTCCGGGAGAAGGACTATGATAGCCTCTCCCAGCCCAGCTTCTTCGACAGGTTCATTAGGTGGATATGTTAAATGAAGGGAGTGCACATTCCTCCTCCCACCAGTATGCATACTCCTGATATTACCTGTTTCATTTTCTTCCCTCTGTATGGTTGCTAGCAACTCTGAGCTGACCCAGAACAGCTGCCCTCTGGGTCCTCCTTTCTAGCCAAAATCCAGAGCTCATTTTCTTTTAATTTTCATGATGAAAAGTCGTGTATCTTACATTTATGGTGCTAATTAAAACCAAGATCAAAGCAGGATACAGAGCCATATGATGTACTTCTCTAAAGCTTTACACACACTAAGCCATGCCTTGCATACGTACTGTAATCCTAGGAGGGCTTGTCAGAGAAACGAGAAACCTTTCCAGTGTAGTAGGACAAATTACCATCTCTAGTTTTCAAAAACTCTCAATATCCCTCAGCATCCTGTGAGAAGCTTTACAGTTGTGACATCCCCTGTTCTTTAGCAAACCCTTTTCCAGATTATCTGACCTTTTTTGTTCTCTCGGTACTTCTGCCCTGAGACAACCGAGTGAGTTTATGACACATCACATGCTGCTTGAAATGGTCAGCGACTTGCTTTCCTTTTGCATGGCCCTTGGTGGCTTGCTCCTCTTTCCCAGGAGCAATGAGATGGTGAGAGGTTTTGCTGCCTTCTACAGTTGTCTGCAGATGCTCCTTTTGGGGCTCTATCTATCCTAAATTTCACAGATCATCTTCAAGATTTTCATTTTCCTGTGGGCTATATCTCCCTTGCTTCTGCCATTCCGACCTTCATCAGAACCTGTTCATTTATTACTGCACCCAAAATCCTGGCTGAGGGACAGCATGCTCCCAGCATCTCACAAAATACTGGGTAGCCGCCCGAGCTGCCTCCCTGTCATCCCAATGTGCTCAAAGCAACCATGGTGCCTTCTTCCCACCAGTATCTGCTGAGCAATGCCCAGATTTGAACTTGAATTGTGCTGTCTGCAAAAATAAACAAACTCTTTTCACCCTATCCTGAAAAAGCCTCTTTATTCTGTAGTTTGTCTGTTTTTTTTAATTATTTTTAATGAGCAGCTGATTCTCCTGGTGCTAAGCTGGTAAGTCCAGATAAGTTTGTATTTTG